TAGTAGTAGTAGTAGTAGTAGTAGTAGTAGTAGTAGTAGTAGTAGTAGTAGTAGTAGTAGTAGTAGTAGTAGTAGTAGTAGTAGTAGTAGTAGTAGTAGTAGTAGTAGTAGTAGTAGTAGTAGTAGTAGTAGTAGTAGTAGTAGTAGTAGTAGTAGTAGTAGTAGTAGTAGTAGTAGTAGTAATAATAATAATAATAAAGAAAGAGAAGAAGAAGAAGATGATGAGAACTTTGAGATGGAATATTAATGTAACGATTAAACAATGATAATAACAAATGTCAAGGTTAGAGGTTCCACTAATGGTATATCAAACAAGTATAGTATAAACTCTTATTATTGAATTGGAAACCACACACAAAGGAGGTTCCAATCAGATTATATATTGTTAACATGATTACATTAGTCATCTTATTCAATTAATGCTAATACTTGTAAATCTCGTCAAGCATTCATGATTATAACTTATGTTAACAACAAATCAAGTTCCTTTCATAGCTCAGGTGTCGGTTATACCATACATTATGGGCTATGAAAGTGCCAAGCATTTGTTGTACCAAGTGTTATACAACATAAATCAAGATTAGTCATTTAACAAGCAAAGTATTAAAGAGTGAACAAGATAGCAAATATAAAACATGTTAGTATCAAACATTAAAGTCCATATTAAGTTTACATTATACTTATTCTTACACCATTAGTGTAACCTTTTCACCTTGACATAATTAACTTAGCTAGACATAATGAAAGAAAGCAAAATAGATAAACAAAATAAGAACATAAAAGTTAACTAAGTAAAGGAAAGGAAATGAAAGGCATAAACTTAATATTAATGAAAACAAAGCATAAAAAATACAAAGAGAGAAAGGAAGAGCATGATCTTGATCTGGAAATCAAGATGCCTAAATGCATGGCAAATGCCTCCTTTTATAGGCCAAAAATGGGAACTATTGATTTGATGACTAATTGATAAGTGGGTGACCAACTTTTGACTTGGTGACAATCCTTATCTTCTCTTGTCTGCCCAAAACGTCATTGATAACGTCAAAATTGGAGCCAGTTGTAAACATGAAAGTTGTAGGCAATTGTCTCAGCTTTCTTGTGTAAAAATTTCAGCTCATTTGGACTTCTAGAACTCCAGATATGGCCAAAATACCGAATAGTGCTCGGGCTGGAAGACAGATTCGGGCTTCTTTGTTGTTGCTACAATTTGGACTTGATAATGGCCTTTTTAGATCTTGGGCTCCATATGAAAGTTGTAGGCCTATGTCTTACCTTTCCATCCATATAAATTGGACCTAAATCTGAGATCTGTAGCTCCAGATATGACCCAATTACCGAACAGTGTTCCGGTTTGGATTGCACCGACATCTCTTTTCTAAGTTTGGCCATCTCTTTATCCTTGCAATTTAAGTTCTTCAAGTCATCAATCAATCCTTTCATTTATGTGATAGGCCTGCATTAAAAATAGACATTTACCATAAATTATAGGTATCTTATATTATTAGATACATTATTATAAAACATATTTTAGTTAAGGAGTTATTGATACTTCAAGTGCAAAATGATGATATAAAACCATGATAAAAATGCACTTTTAAGTACTAATCACACCCCCCAACCAGCTTATTACTAGTCCCTAGTAATCAAAGCGTTAAAATAGAAAACAAATTTGCAAATTTCACAAAGCAAGGTATTCATCATTTAACTTCCATTAGTCTATCCAGATAAACAAACTCTCATTAAATTTATATATCTGCTCAATACCTCTTAACAAGATATTAATAAACCTTTCTTTTGTGCTCAATGTATCAACACATAATTATGGGGCTTTTCTTGGAAGAAAACAAAATTTTTGTTCTAATGTTTAAGGTTAACTTCCTTGGGTTGGGATTACTATTTTTGTCTTTTTTTTTTTTTTTAACTCTATATACATATACTTTAAAAACATCATGCATCTTTAACCCATGTAATGAGCTTTCAGCTAATGACTCCCAGACCAGTTGGTCTTAGGGCATTAGGTGTTAAGACACCCCTACGAGCTTAGTAACTCGGGTCGCAGATACTGATATGTAGATAGTGCAATGTTTGATTCCCTTAAGCTTTTCTCCTCAACCCATGTAACAAGCGTTGGGCCAATAGCTCCCAAGTCAGTTGACTTTAGGGTATTAGGTGTTAAAACACCCCTTCGGGCTTAATTGCTTAGGTTAGGGAGGCTACGAAACCAAACTTATCTACATTTTTATTATCATCATTTTTTTTTCTTTTTTTCTTTTTTTTTTTTTTTTTTTTTTTTTTTTTTTTTTTTTTTTTTTTTTTTTTTTTTTTTTTCTTTTTAATTATATACAATCCCTTTCCCTTAGTTGTTACCTTTAACAAAAGAACATAAATAATGTAATAATCCAATATGCAACCCACAATCATATGTTAAAGTGTGTGTGTGTAAATTAAGGTTTAAAAATACATGTTAAATAAGTATATGAGCAGAATTAAGTGGTAACAATACGAGAGTTTGTAAACCTGAATATTTCAGGAAGTATTATAATAGACCTTGTTAAGAATGGTTACTAAGATGCGTCTCAAGAGTCACTTTAACAAAAGAACTCCTTTACTCTGCCATCCTAGTAACAACAATTATGCACATGCTTTATGAAATGAAAAAC